CTTTCCGGGCCGTCGCCTTCCCTGTTAGGCCACCAAGGCACTTGGAGTTTGTCTCGCAATATTCTGTACATCTATTGAAGATGTTCTGATACTGTAATACCGCCTGTTATGACANCGTAAATTTTAACAATTAGTGATAAACTGAGAATTTTTTTCTCGGGCTCTAAAAGTCTTTCCAATAAACATAAGTAAAAGTATATATTAAATATTAATAACAGCAATTAAATAAATAATACTAACATACCTAAATATAAATAAAATTAATAATTTAATCTTAATAATCTTAAATCTTTCCAAAATATCTCAAACTATAGATTTACAAGAAAACTCAACCCAAATCTTATCAAATTCTAACGATTTATACCAATAGGGTATAAAAGGCTTATAAATATAACTAAAAAAAACATTATTATTCACATAGAACTAATAAAATAAACAAAAAAATAAAACTTAAAAAAATTATAAAAATATATAATCAGACCAATAACTACCCCTATTAAACATGCCCTTAAAGTAATTAACTTCAATAAAACATTCAAATAAACATAAGTAAAATCAAAAAATGTTACTCATGAAATTAATGATCCAAAAATCACCCTCATTATAAGCAAAATAAACATTGACAGATTCACCCCTCACCTTCTAGTAAATATAAATCAAGAAAAATAAAAATTAATTTTTCCAAAATAAATATAATATAATAAACGAACAGTATAGCTTACAGTAAAACACAAAAAAATAACTCTTATAAATATAACTAATAAATTTAAACTTTTAAAATATAAAATCTCTATAATCAAATCTTTTGAATAAAAACCGGCTATAAAAGGAACCCCACATAGAGAAATTCTAGAAATATAAAATCTTATTATAATAAAAGGAATAAATTCATTTATTTTACCATAAAATCGAATATCTTGATTATTAGATATTAAATGAATTATTGACCCAGCGCACAGAAATAATAATGATTTAAAAATAGCATGAACTTCCAAATGAAAAAACGATACATATTTATATCCTACACTCAAAATCATTATTATTAAACCCAACTGACTTAAAGTAGACATAGCAATAATTTTTTTCAAATCAAACTCAAAATTAGCTATAAAACCAGCTATAAATATAGTTAACAAAGAAATAATATATAATAAGTCTGAAAATCAAGTTATTATTAATAATTCATTGAATTGAATTAACAAGTAAACCTCAGCAGTAACTAAAGTTGAAGAATGAACTAATGATGATACAGGTGTTGGAGCTGCCATTGCCTGGGGCAACCAATAAGAAAATGGAATTTGAGCCCTTTTAGTAATAGCAGCAATAAAAATTATTATTATAACTAATAAATTATTGTCCAAAACAAAAACTCTCCACCCACCATAAGATATTATAATACCAATACATATTAATAAGCCTACATCACCTACTCGATTTGATAAAACAGTAACTATCCCAGAATTATAAGAAGAGTAATTATTATAATAAATCACTAAACAATAAGAAACCAACCCTAACCCATATATATACATATATACGTAACACGTATATATGTATATATATATATATATATACGTATAATTTCCGCACAACACCTTGCGAACGGCTCTCATGACCAAATATATATATTCATTTAGTTGGAAAGACTTTTAGAGCCCGAGAAAAAAATTCTCAGTTTATCACTAATTGTTAATTTTTTAATTTTTTTGCCAATTTTAAACTAAAGAGTACAATACTATTTTATTGATCTTTGCTTTATTTTTTAAATTTTATTTTTAGTAATTAAATTTTACTAAAGAAAAAACATTACAAATGTGTCTTTGATTTTGTTTCTGTGTCCCTCTCAGGCGGATATGTACGTGGTTATAATAGCGCGTCTATCCTTTAATCTTTCGCCGCTTTCACGTTTTCCATTTTTATCTGATAGTGAAAAACTGCCGCTACCGCCGCCGCCGCCGCCGTCGTCGCATTGCCTTGGGTAGGGGAAAGATTGAGTCACATGGAAAGGCAAGTGCGAGCGGACAAGAGGCAAGGGGATTTTGTGGCAAAAAACGCACGCCGTGCGCGAGTTGGAAGGCTCTGATCTACAATTAAAGATCGAAACGACCAGAATACATTTTATGAAGGTTTTGAATTGTCTACCGTCACCTTGACCTTTGGCTTCTTGGTCTATTATTATTAATTTATGTTTATATCTCTGAGCCGTTTTCTGTTTAAGTTTTGTGTAACTGTTTAACGTTTAATTTGAAATATAGTTTTACAACCGGTTTTAACTCGATATTAACCTTGTTTTTCTTCTTATTATTATTTATATAATAAGCGTTTATTATCTTATTTTGTATGTACTTGTTTTCATCTCTGCAATATTTGTCGGTTGACGACTCAACTGACAAATTCAAAGAAAAGAACAGAACCGATAAAAAGGCAAACAGCCGAGAGGAAAGCAGAAAGTTTGCAGCCGTCTATAAACACAGATCGTAAAGAAAAGACGCGTGAGATACCGTAACGCGAGATATTAGAAAAAAAGTTGTTTAACTTGTATTCGCTTTACATTTATTTATTTATAATAAAGTTAATTGATTACTTTGCTTTTGTACTAAATAAAGTAATTTATTTAATTTATTACAAATCCTACACTATCCATAGTAACTATTACTATAGGAAAACTTTTGGAGTCAATTTCTTTTGAAATAATGCCAAATTTTCTGACAATATATTTATTTTTCCATTATACCATTTAATATTTATAAGAATTTTTAGAAATTTAATGCATGATCTACAAATATTTTCAACTATAATGATTCACACATGTGAAAAGACTATATATACACAATCGTGTCTTGCTTTTTCTCTAAATAAATAACACGAAATGTGTATACTCTTTTTCTATACATTTTACTAAAGTTGTTCCTCATACAGTATAATATTGTTACGCGAGGGGCACCGCGTATGTGTCGCGGGAAGCCGCCTGAAGCGGCGTGCGCTTGATGCGTCTGTTCGTTGCCGGGCGACGGTTGGAAGAAGAAGAGGAACCGAATTGCGGAGCTGTCACGGCGCGTCTCGACGATT